GGATACCTGGTTGGTAATAGGTGGAGTGCAGACAGCAATAGGCATCGCGGAGAAGAACTTGGCCTCTTTTGTCTCATTTAACATTTTTCAAACATTTTATCCATTGACTCTTTACAAGACATCTTAAGGCATGTGTTTTAAAATGCTGTTTACATATGAAGAAACCAAGGCCCAGATAAATAAAGTTATATGTCTAACTCACACAGTTGCAAACTTAAGAACAAGCTTGCCTTAGAGTTAGAAAAAGAAGGAAAGTATAGGTAGTGTGATAATAAAATACGGTGCCATTTTTATTTTAACTTTAGCTGTTCCACTGTTTGATTTTTACCTTGTTCTTTAATTCCATGAACAGTTACTGGGTGTTCACTGTGTGTTCCAGAGGTACCAGATACCACAGAGATAACCTCCTCATGAAACAGAAACAAGCTGAAGAAACATATGCCCCTGCTCCTGATACAGAGTCAGTGCAGAGAGAGTACAGAGAAGTGAGGGTAGGGTGGGCATGTTCGTGAAGGTTCAGATAATCAGGGAAGGCTTTTTAGAGGAGGCAGCCTTTGATGCAGACCTTGGATTCCCTGAAATCAGGGGGACAGAAAATATATAAGAAAAGTCCAGGAGCCCCACATGGTAGCTGAGACAAGCCAACCAGGCGGATGTCTCCCACCTTTGTGACACTCGCACAATGCACATAGCCAAGACTTAGTAATTTAGGTAACTGCTTTCTCTTGACTACCACAGTGGGTAAATTCTTAGTGATTTTTAAAAAAGACTTACTTGACTAAAATGCCTCTGTTCAGAATAATTACTGTGCCTATCACATACTCTGAGGTAAATTAACCTGTGGACACATGCCAGCTCTTAATATCCTATCCAAAGGCAAACAGCGAACAGCTAAAGTTGCTGAGAACTGCCTTCATATAGGAAGGCAAACAAGAATCCCACAGAGCATTTATGCTTAGAATGGAAGGAAGAAGAGCTTCCATTTATAAAATTCATACTGACTTTGATTATCTCTTGATAGTACATATATACTTTTCCATTATGTTGGGAAGTCACTGTCACATCGCCATTCTGCAGATGAAGTCTCACAGTGGTCCCCTGATTGTGTAAGGTGAAAACCAGTAGAAGTAGGAGAAGCAGGTCAGGAATTCTGATCTAGGTATGACATCTGAACTTCCATTATTCTCTCTCTCTCTCTCTCTCTCTCTCTCTCTCTCTCTCCATGTATGTGTGTGTGTTTGCACAGAGTGTGTGTTCGTGTGATGTTCTAAATTCTTCTGTGTCTCTGGGTCTCCAAATTCCAATCCTGCTTATATTGTCACATTCTTTATCTTGGTCACTCTTTTCAAAGGCTTTCTAGGTAACTAGATTTGAATTTGGATCCTGGGCAAAGGCTCCCTAAGATAGAATTCTATCTGTCTAAGAGTGTGGTTTGGTGAGAAGAATGGTTAGAGCTTAGAGTTCATGTGGGCCTTAGTTCAAATTCTGGCCTGATTACTTCGCGTTTTATCTATGGGTTGTAAAAACACATCTTCAAGGCTGAGTTCTGATATCAAAATAAAGCTAACACAGTGGCTTATTTCTTACAAGGCTTGTTCTAAACATTAGATATGCTGGACACATAGAAGGGGGCAACTGGAAGTTTCTTTCATTTCCATCCTTTGTTAATTGGTAGAGAGTGTTCTAAATTCATTTTGGCATTGTCAACACCAACTGTAGGATGTTACACATATTAGGAACTTAAAAAAAGCAGGGTGACCTCATCCTCCCCCTACTCTGAGAAGTCTAGGATCAGGTAAACTATGGCCCAGTAGCCTGATACTTTGTTTTTTGTTTTAGTGGTTTTTATTGAAAGAGAGTCATATTCATGAACACATTGTCTATGATTGCTTTATTCAAAAAGTCAAAGATTTGACTATTTGGTACCTTCTAGAAAGCTTGTGGACTTTAGTCTTATTTGCATATCTTTTCAACGAGGGTGAGTATTTGAAGGTTGTTTGGCTTTGAGGATAGAGAAATTCCTCTATTTCTTACACTCTGTATATTATCATGTGCCTTTATTTTATTTATTTCTGTCTTAGCTTTCATTCATCCCATTTTATGATATATGGTATTTTCTCTCCCTCCTACTAAACATTTATACATGAGTGAACTCCTTCCTTCCTTCCTTCCTTCCTTCCTTCCTTCCTTCCTTCCTTCCTTCTTTCCTTCCTTCCTTCTTCCTATTTATTTATTTGCATTTACTCCTAAATTCCTAGAACCTTGACAGGAGCCTGGCACACAGGAGGCACTTCACAAATGAGTCCATTAGCATTGACTTCATTGTAAAGGTTAGGTTAGATAAACCATGCTAGAGACTTTGTTTTTGTGGATGATCTGGGGGACTTTAGAGAGAGTGTGTTCTAGACTTCTCTGAGATGAGTATCATCTTTTTTCTTTTATCTGTTATGGAGGGGACAACTGGACTTCTGGTTTATTTATTGCTTCTTAAGGTGTAATATGAACACTGTCTAGAAAAGGACATTGTCATGGTGCAATTTCTAATTCAGGACATTAGTCTGGTGTCCTAGATGCTGCATTTGCCACAATCTCTTCCTACTGCTAGGATTGCTGGTCTGTGCCCTGAGTACAAAGGTTTTCACTCAGAATCTACCCTGGTACTTAGAGGAAGGCTTTCATATTTGTGGAACATGGAGACCACCATTGTCTTTCATTCTTTTCTGATATTTTCTTTACTTTTATTTATGTGTATGTGAGAGTGTAGATATGTGCATACTATAGCTTGCATATAGAGGTCAGAGGACAACTTTAGGAGTGGGTTCTCTCCTTCCACTGTGGATTCTGGGCACCAATCTTGGATTCTCAGACTTGTGAGTGAGGACTTCATCCTAGTGAGCCATCTTGCTGACCCATTTTTTTTTTCTGTCAATCCTTGCCTCTAAACAACTTGCCTCCAGACCTCACTTCCCATGGCTCCCAAACCTCTAGCATCTTAAGCCTCCTTGATGTCCACCATTTACCCCATAACTCTCAGAAGTGACTTCTGTTGGAATTACCAGGTTGTCCCCTCACAGCTACCTCCATTCTCTGTAGCATCTTCTACAGATAATGACTTTTCCTCTTTTCTCCTATCATCTCTTTTCTTTGCTAACCTGCACTTCCTCTCCAAACCTCTACCTGTAGATTGTTAATCATGATCAGTTTGGGAACCTCAGCCCCTCACTCTCTACTTTGTTCCTATTCTTTCTCTAGTCTTAATTGCCCCACCCCATAGTCTCCTTTGCCATCCTCAGAGGACGGTTCCAAACACCCCTCTTGCCTAAATTCTACTTCTCTATTCCTGAGGTTGCCTGGGACATTTTTACTTGGGAATTCTACCAGCTTCCTCAGACTAAATATATCTATAGTCATAATTATCTTCTTTGCTCACAACCATTTCTCCCTCCCCCAGATGTTTCTCTTTCCAGTATAAGCCACTCTCTCTCCTCTTCAAGGTTCATTTACAGATTAAGTACAATTTCCCGTTAGTATTGAGAAAAATGAGACTCTGAGTCCAGAAACATTCTCAAGGCTGCACAATGACTAAGGTAAGACTTGAACCCAGTACTGCATGAATCCTAAATCTTCTTCTCATTCTATCCCAACAGTTGCATAGTGTTACATGCACACATCTTTGCAAATGCAATTCAGACCAATGAAATTTTAATTTCTCCAGAATTGGGTAAATATAACTCTAAATCCACTGGCAGGTATAACCATCCACGTTAATGAGCCTATACTTACTTCGTATATGTGCATATACCCAATTTTCAACTGTTATTTCATTATTTGTCCACGCTGATCTCTCAGGTAGACAAGAGCACCACAAGGGTGAGGCTTTAGGTCCTTGCTATTTTCCCATCCATTCTAACCGGAATTGCAGTGTGCGTGATCAATGCATGTTTGCGGAATGAATGAACAGGTGAGGTAAGTGTACTAGGACCTTTGGTAGTAGAAGTGGAGGACACTGGTCCCTATATGAAGGATAGCACAGCATGGCACTAACTGAGCAGAATGGGTGGGGAAGCCACCTTCTGATTCCATCTCCACCTGTGGAAGTTTCAGCGGAAGGCAATCGAGATGCAAGCTTTCTCACAAGGCTGTGTTTGCCAAGGGTAAGGGAAGACCTTGTTTACTAAGTCCCGGCATTCTGAGCTCTACTCCTATTTTTTGCAGGCTGAATATGTGGTAAGTTCTCATATTCCTCTCTGAACCTCACTTTCCAAATCCAGAGAGGCACACTGGGGATATAGGAGTATTTTAGTGGTTTTCCCACTTTTTATCAGCAAGGATCTATTCTATAAAGTTTCTCTCCTGTACCCCCATGTTTTGCAAAGCGCTGATTTAGAACAAAATCACTATATTTAGTAAGGGTAAGAAGCCAGCAGCCATCTTTAACCGTGAATGTGTGAACTGATGAGGTGGCAAAACTAACGTGGAATGCCAAACAGGGAATTTCAGTTTAAAGCCAAGACCTTGGATGTTTCTGTCATCCTCCAGGCTGGATTTGGACCAAGTCAGGGCTCCCTGTAGTCTACCTGGCATAGTGGAAAGAGCTACTGGACTCTTCTATCCCTTGAGCCCCAAAGACTGCTTCCCTGAAGAGGCACAAAGGGACCCAGAAGTTCCTGCGAGCTGTGATTCTGTCTTACCTTCCCTCCTTCTGGAACTGAGGTGCTGCTCGTTAGAAACTGACACCCACCAAGGAGAACTCGCTCCTCACATCTCCAAGGGTATGAGGGCGAAACCAGGATGACAGAAACGGACTAGACACGAACAAGGACAGCGCGTTTGCAAACGTAAAAGCATCCATACAAAATAAAAGCTTCTGGACTACGGATGACTTGACAGAAGTGGATATGAGAGGCCAACAGACAATCAACCAGTTGGTGCAGGAGGAAACGCATGCTACAGCCTCTCTTACAGAGCACAAAGCAGTTAACACCGGCTCGATACTTACAAGTAATAGGAGTAGGAATAAGCATTTCTTCTATATATTGATGGGCAGTCAGATGAAGGAAATGTCCAAAAGGGGGGGAAAAAGAAAAGACAAACAAAGAAGAATTAGGTTTATATGAAATCATGAATCTCAGAAATGCACATCATTTTAGTAACTCTGAGCTCAAAGAGATGCAGCATCTGCTTGCACATCAGCTACTATTAGTGGCGGAAGAAGTGAGAGGGACCTCACCTCTGACAGAGGCTCCTCACCTCCTGCAGAGGAAGCCAAGGTTCTTGTGGCTGTCTGCACTGTTTGAAAGTTCTTCCTTGTGGGTAGCTGAAACAAACTTCCTTATAATGATGGGCTTATGAAAGTCTGGGGTAGCTTTCTGTGGCCTCCTAGAAATAGACTACCAAACTTTCACATTCCATGTTCCTAGAATCCAAGCAACGACAGACACAGTAGCACTTGTCATCTCAACTATTCCACAGAAGATCACGTTCACATCAACTCTGTAAGAGGGCATGCATGCCCGATAGAAGGAAACAGCCGGACAGCATCATTGCTAGCTCCCCAGGCACCCACATTTCCAGGCTCATGTGTAGTATCTAGTCCTCAGTAACGAGTCATGGATGACCCTGGGCGACAAATAGAATGTAGTAAGATTGTGTTCTTGGATTTCTAAGCTGGGTTTTAGGAAAAAGAAGCTCTGCGGTTCCTTTGTGCTGGACCTCTCTGTTAGATGCCTGAGTGTCCATGTAAGTAATTCAACTTCCCCAAAGCTGCCATGCCGAAGAGATCACACAGAGAAGCCCCGAGATTACAAAAAGGGAAAGAAATGACCAAGTATTTTCCAGTCCTTCCAGCCCAAGCTAGTGTTCCAACAAGTTATCTCAGCTGGGACCCTCAGTATCACAGAACAGATATGTTTCCTTTATGCCCTACACAAAGTGAAGACCTAGGCAGAGTACAAAAATAGTAATTCTTCACATCATTAGGATTTTTGAGAAGGAAGAATCATAACCCAAGGTGTCAACAGATCCCAGCTTGAATAAATTCTGCCTTTATGTTCTCATCTACAGCTAATGGTTTCCCAACTGGATTCCAGGATTCCAGGAGGTCTTCGGAGTAGCCAGAGGGAGGGAGGATATCATGAAAGGGGGTCTTCTGGTCTTCTGCTACTCACCAAAGCCAGGGCACCTTGGTTTGTGTCAGTTTTGTACCATGTAACATTTCACATGGCTAAGCTTCCTTTTCGAAGCTTAAATAATCACTGCCTTCAGGCTTTTCCTAATGTCCCCACTAGCTCTCAGCTTCTAAGCATTCACAAACCTTTATGTCTGTCCATTGTATTCCCCTTGCTGTAACTTATCTTATGTTGTAAGAAAATAAATAGGGATGTTTTTATTTCACATCGGTTTTTATCTACACTGACAATAGTACGTGATGCATTTGAGGATTGGAAAAGATGCTTAGCTGAGGATGTTAAGAAATTCAGGTTCCCAAATATCCTCCTGAGTGAGCAAGCATCATTGCATTTATTCTTGAATGATTTGATTAATTGTAATTATTATCTTTTTTTTTTTGTCACAGGAAGACTCAGTCTTTAGAAACACAGAGGTGTGAACACCTATTCAGACCACAAAGGTGTGAACACCTATTCAGAGCTCAGGATTTCCACCTTTCAAGTTAGAAGTAGCTGAAGCCCACAAGGCAGGGTTAGCAAAGCCCAACCCAATAACCCTAAATGTTCAGAAGAAAGGTGAGTAGTAAGAAAACATACAGAAACCATGCTTGCTTGATAGGCTGAGCTGGGGGAAATGAACCCCAGCATAGCAAGACCCCGTGAACACCCCCGCCCCCAGCCAAACTGTTCAGGATCCTGGACCAAATGAATAATGGCCCTGGGGAATAAAAGGGAAAGACTTAGATCTCTGATGGATGGAAACTGGATAAACTCATGTGAGTTATCAAATCTCCATCTGCTAGCTATACAGGTTGCCACTGCTTCATCTTCTTTCTCCCCTATGGCTGGGGCAGTGTCAGAAAATGCTGGTCCTGAGAGGCAGGAAGCTCAGGATCCAAAGGTTTCTAGTTATGATTTGACCATCTCCTTGGAAGCTGATGGTGTGACTTGAACCCCCAATTCATATGCTGTTGCTATTAGAGGTTTTCTGGGGGTGACTTAGACCAGAGAAAGTATCAGGGTTAGGGTAGGAGGGTGGAAGGTCATGACAGACCTGGTGGCTTTATGAGAAGAAGGAGACATACTCAGTCTGCCCGCCGGATGACGCCCTCCCACCCCATGGTGGTGCAGCAATAAAGTCCTTCACAGAAGTAACAGGGCATTGGATTACCCAGAACGATACAAAATAGGTTTTTTTTTTTTTAAGAAGTTACTTTGTCTCAGGTACTTTGTTACAGCAATAGAGCTGGATTAATCATTTTATGTATTTTTGACAACACAAGAAGAGGCGAGTGCTCTAATTTCAGCTCTTTCACTTGTTCACTGTGACATTTTAGACAAGCAGACCCACCCCCCCAAACCTGTTTCCTGATCCATGTATTCAGTTGTTGCTACACATGATAGACACTTCAAATAGCTTTGGGTCCTGGAACTACAGGAAGGCCGAGTATGCCAGTACCATCATTTACAGTTGCATGGTCTGCAACAAGTAATTAAATAGCCCCTTGTTCCAATTCCTCTGTCTCAGACATTGGAAACAAAGACTACCTATTCCTAAGAGTAACCATGGTTATACGGCAAATTACTTTCGATGACTTTATTTAAATTATATCAAAATATGATAAGACATAATATACATTTTTCAAAATTACATTAATCTAAATTAACATTAGTCAATACTAATCTATATTTGGAATATGCTAAGGATAGAGGAAAGGTAGATTATCTCTCACCCCATATACAAATATAAAAACTTTGCTGCTTCTTTCTTAGGACAATGTTCATACTTTGGTGTAGTGATATTTTGTTTGTGCTTTAACAAATAAAGCTTGCCTGAAGATCAGAGTGAAGAGCTAAGCTGCTAGAGGCCAGGGAGTGGTGGCACACACCTTTAATCTCAGGACTCAGAAAACAGAGGCTAAGGGATCTTTGTTAGTTCAAAGCCACCCTGGGCTATACAAGATAGAATCTGTCTAAAAGAGAAACAGAGAGCTCACACACCTTTAATCCCAGCACTCGGGAGGTGGAGACAGTAGTGATATGGCTGGGCTGAGAGAAGAATATAAGGTGGAGGAGACAGGAGCTTAGTACAGTCTGTGGGGGCAGCAGTCAGAAGCAGTCAGTCTGAGGATGCAGTCAGAGGATGCAGTCTGAGGACAGGATTGCCCTTCTGGTCTGAGAATTTGGTAGAGGTAAAAGGTCTCTCTAGTGGCTGGCTGCTCTGCTTCTCTGATCTCTCGGCTTTCAGCCCCTAATACCTGACTCCAGGCTTTTATTTAATAAGACCAATTAGAATTCATCTATACTTTGGAGAACAGTGAAAATAGTTATCAATAATAATAAAATGAAATAAAATATATAGGTACACTTATTAGGTACCAATACTGTTTTATGCTCTTACCACATATTAGCTTGTGTGTTTCCTTACAGCTATCCAAAGAAATAGACACTATCATCTTAGCTTTATAGAAGAATAAACTGAAGCAAATGGGATGAAGATGACAAACCAGTATCCCGATTTGATGGCATCACCTCTCCAAAGGTCATGTTCTTAACCACTGTTTAGACATAAAACAGGGTACCAGAAATGGACCAGACTTGATGATGCCCCAGGCCTCAGCTCTTTGAATTTTCTCAAAAATGTAGACATTGTTACTATTACTGTTAACTGAGGAACCCAAAGGCTCTAAGAGGATATTCCTCACTCGAGCAAAGATTTTGAGCACCTGTGGAGAAGTTGGATCGCTTCTGTCCTGAGCTGAGCTTTCTCTCTATTGGCAGCTGCTTCCTCATAGGCAGCAGGTGTTGTTCAGTATTCTGATTCTCTGAATTTTCTGTCCTCAACATTCAAGGTTCACCTTCTCCAAGGCCACCTCCTCCCAACAACATGCTTCCGTCTTCCCATTTAAACACAGACTGCCTGTTTACTGAGTTGTCTCAGAGGTTACCAAAACTAGTGCTGTCTCCAAGAACGGCAGTGATCAGCAGTTTTATAATAATGGGCAATCTTTCCTCAACCAGGCCGGAAAGTTACAGATATCTGCTCTGTGACCACAACACAGTTTACCTGTGTGTATTCTCTAAACCTTGAAGAAGATTTACTGAAGGTCTGAATTTACAAGGATACAGTGATATTGCAGATAACAGATTGCCTGAAACCAAATATCCTGAACACAAAGACAGCTGTGCTTAGGAAGGGGAAAAAAAAACAATATCCCAAACTTAATAAATCACATACTACAGAATCGCCTTTTAGCTGGCTGACAACACTGACTTCAGGTAGGGTTTCTCCTTGCTCTATATCATTTTAACAGTGCTAACTTGTCTGTGTAATCACACATTTGGTCATTTACCCATCTGTCTAGCCCCTAAACTTATCCATCCATCCATCCATCCATCCATCCACTCACCTAACAATTCATCCCTCTATCCATCTACCCCTGAAATTAACCCTCCCATTCATCTGATCATCCACTCACTCAGCCCTCCATCCATTCAACGGCACATTCATTATCCACTCACGCATCATTTCATTGTTAATTAGAAAACTTTCCTGTGAGTCTACTAATATACCTGTCTCTGCCAAGTACTATAGATAGACAAACGAGATTCTGATCCAGCCCATCTGGTCTAATATGAAAGCCAGGCAAGAAAATTACAGAGGAGACAATAATGATAGCTTCCACTTAAATAGAAGACAATTACTTATGTCCCAGATACTAGTGTAAGGCCACTGCAGGAGAGTGGGCAGGGGGATTGTAAGAGGAGGCAGATGACTGGAAGAAAACAGTAGGCACAGCAAGGCAGCTGCAAATATGATTGCACAGCCAATGATGCAGCATGCACAAGGCACATGAATTGG